TACCGACGTCCCGTATCCCTCGTGTGAGAGCAAAATGTCAGTAAATAATATGTCAGTAGTTGATGTAAGGAGTAGCAGAACTGGACTTTAATGGATGCCTACCAGTAAATGCCCTTGTTGGTCGTGTTACCGCCACTGTCGTCTCGTCTGGAGTTGGAATCATGTAGACATTTAGAATGATCCTGAGTTGAGAGATTGGGGTATTGGGGGGAGAGGTAGAGAGAGTGGGATATGGGGCGAGAGAGAGAGGGAGAGAGAGAGAGAGACATGCAGACAGACAGACAAACAGAGAGACAGAAAGAGACAGACAGACAAAAAGATAGAAGGAAAGCCAGTGAAAGAATGGTAGGGAGTTCATGTGGAGAGAAAATTATCAAATACATAAGACGTTAGCTTTACAACATCAATTGTAGGTGCGAGCAACCTTGACACGTAATGTCAGTCTTAGACTCATTCTTATATTCCCTAGATGTGGCTTATTACATAATCTAGGAACTATCTTCATTGACTCCAGACTTTAAGCATTGACTCCTGAAAATTAAATTCATGAAACCGGTTCAGTAAATTATACAGTTCATCTTAGGACATTTGAATTTTATATATACTAACTGAAATCAGACCAGACTGACATGATTATCCACACATGAATACACATGTACATGTATACAAGTATTATCAGAGTATCGTCGTGAGCTGACTTACTACACAGGCGGCAGGTCTTGGCGCAGTACAGCAGCGCCCACCTCTGTTGTGTGTCCGACTCGCAGACAGACTTATAGATGCTGCATGTTGATAGTTTGTCCTCACAGACGGGAGGAGGCGGTGTTGTTGTCGTCGTCGGTGCTGTCGTTGCTTAAATCGTCAAGATGGGACTTTTCACATTTTAATTATTGAATTAGTGAATATATATGGCTAGTATGAGGCAATGAGTGTTTTTTGTTCTGATCGCCCTCTGCAAGGAAAAGCGACACAACCTTGCCATATTCACAGTCAGTCTCGGCTGAAATGACTATATCAGGAGCATGTGTTTTATTGTGATGATGGAAGGTCTTAGCGAAAAGTCTGGCGAATCCTGCCCCAACACATGCAAAGGCAAGTCAATTGTTCACATAACAAACACGGGAACATGTTACAAGTCAAAACAAGGAATTGCATTGGACATCATTATCGTCACCGATGCGTCAAATTTGGAAATGTCCTTCATATGTCTACCATAGAACGTTTTGAACGCTTCATGAGGCCATGAATGTGGTAACCTTGATCAAACAACTTGTGAGCAAGAGTCGCATGACGCTCTTGGTACAAAGAACATGCTCGATTGTTCCTCAAAAGCTGTGAGATGTAAACACCAAAAACTGGAGCTGCAGGAATGTTGCAATACAGTCTTGAGTAGAATGTTTTGCGCTCTGAATCTTTGTGCATAGATCTAAACATGAAACAGGTGAGGCGGTTTGTCTCCTTTAATTCTAGTTCAGGTGGGTAAATCAGTGGAAGGGAATTGGCTACTTTATGGTTATTGAAGGATATCAGATCATCGATATACCTGAAGCATTAATTGAACTTCCTGGCCAAATAACATTGTGTTGAAGAATGTACTATTATTTATATGCATAAAGGAACAGATCAGTAAGAAGTGGAGCACAATTGGCACACGTGGGGATGCCTACGTCTTACATAAATGTCTTTCCAAAACGTTTACATAGATGTTATCAATGAGGAAGTCCAGCATTTTACACATTGTTTCTAAGGAATGTTAAACTGTGGCATGGTGTCTCAGTGGGCTAGCACTATGAAACCGGCATTTATCAAGTACACGCAGCAACACACATACATTCACATCCATTCTCTCTCTCTGTCTCGTTCTTGCTCTCTCTCTCTCTCTCTCTCTCTCTCTCTCTCTCTCTCTCTCTCTCTCTCTCTCTCACCCTCTCTCTCTCTCTCTCTCGGGGCACGGGTGGCCCAGTCGTCTAAGGCACCGCGATTCGCTGTGCAAAGTTGCGTCCCCTGGACACGCCAGAAACCTATGATTGTGGGTTCGAATCCCGGTTCACCCCGATTATGTTTCTAGGTTTGTGCTCGTAGGTTTTACCGAAGTGGTAAACGTCTAAGACCTGCATCACTTCGGGCTTTCCTCCCACGTTAAGCTGACACGCCGTGATATAACTGGAATAATGTTAAAAGCGGCGTTAAACCCAACTCACTCACTCACTCACTCTCTCTCTCTCTTTCTCAAACACACACACACGCACACGCTTTCGTATGTTGTTAAGGATTGTAGTCATAATTAGGCATTGGAACATGAACATGTGTTGGAGGTACATGAGCATACAGCAAAATACTTTATGTCTTTAACGATCTTGTATCCATATCTACTCTCTGTGAGTTCATTATTGATAAAAACTGCCAGTATACCATTCAAAAACAAAAAAGTGTTCTTTCAGATGAAAATGTGTATAATGTTAAGTTGATGATTTCCAATATTTTTATTTTAACATTTAAGATGGCAGTGCACCGACAATTGACAGACAACTTATTGACGTGCAGCATCTGCATGGACGTCTTTGATGACCCCTGTACACTTGTGGTTTATCACACATTTTGTCGGAAGTGTGTCGTTAGCTACACTGAAACCAGACCAGAAGCCATCAGTGCCAAGTCTCTCCTCTGTCCATTCTGTAGAAAGATGACCAAAGTAGCCAACTCAAACAGGCCAGTTGAAGAGTGGGCACAGGAGGTGAAACCCAGCTTTTTGATTCAGGGTCTCTTGGATTCATTTAATCCCAAGACAAAAGGTATTTCCCAATAGGCTACCAGTGTTGAACTCATCCTAACATTGTTACGTTCTTCTATCCCTGGTTTGTGAATTCCTTGTATGTACATTGAAAGGTTAAAGGTTATTTCGTAATATTATAGTTCTATTGTTGAAAAATAACTGACACATTTGTATGTATACTTGCAGATACCCCGAAGTGCATCCTATGTAGTGATGAAGGAGCGGCACCTCCAGCTACTGCTTGGTGTGCTGACTGTGACACCAGTCTTTGTGAGGGATGCCAGAAGGCTCACAGACGTATTCCTGCCACTCGTCACCATGACGTATCTGACCTGTCCACAGAGGTCAAAATCAACCAAAGACGCTAACCATTCTGTAAGCAACATCCAGATCAAAGCATGCAGTTCTACTGCAAAGATTGTAAGAAACTGCAATGTCAGTCCTGTTGCATCCTGTATCACAGAAAGTGTGAGGCAATTCTACCGTTTGAATCTGTTATGCAGAACTGATCAGCTGTGTTACAGGAGTTAAGGAAAGACTAGCGTCCCATTTACAAGCAACAGACAGTAAGCTCTCTGTTGAGAGCACCCCTCGGCGGATTGCAAAACTTAATGCCCATCACATGGCCGTGACCCTTCCCGAGACAAGGGAGATACTAGTGATTGGAGTGAACCCTGACCTTGTTCTTCAATCATACATTTCAACGAGGAAGAAGTACTTTGGTCTGACAGCCCTGACACCGACTACCCTGGCAGCAGGATCTGGGTCGCCTCCCTGTGTGGACATCCTGGACATGGCGGGGAATGTGTTGAGGACGCTGAATCGTGTCACAGATTGGGGAATCCTTGTATCAGATCCTTTATTCCTATCTACCACCAGTCAAGGTTACATCCTGGTGTCATGCAGTCATGCCCCAAGAAGTCATGTGCTGTGTATGACACCAAACGGAGATGTTGTGTTTAATTATGTACCCACAGGACAACACCGAGCAATGAATCCATGCGGCATCACTGGAACAAACACAGGCGACATGCTTGTTGTTGACGACATGTCAAACAAAGTGTTTCATTTGAGTAGTTCAGGCACATGGTTGAGAGACGTACTGACGTCAAGCGATGGCATCACTTTCCCTTATGGTCTGTACTTTGATAAGCGGAGGCGTCTGTACGTCACCAACTGCCACTGTGTGATGGTCTACAGGTTCATAACACGCAGCAAACCAAGAGGACCTGAGAGTGATCTCGGTCACTTTAAATAGTGTAGGCGTGTTTACTGCTACTTCCGTGGTCCGAGGGCTGTGACTGTGTTCGATCCTGATGATGAGGTGACAGATGATGATAGATGCACAGAGGACGCAAGCGCATTGTAATGAAACAACATGTTTACGAAACATTTACTTTTGGGAGGTAAAATAAAATCATTTTGTTAAGCTGTGTCCCCTTTGTATTGACATGTGCATAACAACTATTGTATTTAAAGTGTTGTATATTTTGGCTTTGACGTGATTCGATTACTTTTTAGAGGTGATAAAACAAGTTGTCAGTTAAATGTGACTGCATGCAGCCTCGTTATAATGCGGCGTGGTATCTCAGTGGGCTAGAACTATAAAGCCGGCATTATGGGACAAGAATGTTATATTGGTGGGGGATGTGTGTGTGTGTGTGTGTGGGGGGGGGGGGGGGGGGGGGGGGGGCTGTGATGGGTAAACGGATGGGTAGTAGATGGGTGAAGGAGGGGTAGACTAGTAGTTAGAGCGTACACAGGTCACAGGTCCTAGTCCCCGCATGGATTCGATGTATGAAGCCCATTTCTGGTGTCCCCCGTGGCCTCAAATCATAGTAACATAATGTTTACTGTTGTATGCGTGACTTCTTACTCTGCCAAACATTAAACAGCTGATGACGTCACTGTTGTTCCCGACAAGGAAACACGGGTGAAAACTGGGTTCACATTAACACAAATAACACCTTACATCGAATGTCTCAACAGAATTTGAGAAAAAGCAATAAACACAAACACCCCTGGAAAATCAAATGTGCAATTGAAGAAGGAACACTGTCATATGTAATTGGTGACTTTTTAATTGAAACATACCTGCCATTAGAGAAACTACAAGCTGCTTCTACGCGGATGTGACACTTGCATCTGTAGGTTTAGCACCCTTAATCACAAGCATATTCTACGTCAAATAAACGGAAACATTTGCCATTTATATGTGTATGATCTGGGCAGAATATTATTTCGAGAACAGAAGCATATATGCTGTGTAGGATTCTGTTTACAATTCACGAAACATCCGTAACCGATCATATACCGTTTTACCGATTGAAGCAAACTTATTATTTACAGAAATAACCTTTGGGCAACGAGGAAGTACGTGTTATCTGTTCCCAGTGGTTTATAGTGAGTTCAGAGCCTTGGCGAGGTATTAATACTGACGATGAAACGGATGTTTTTCTGTAAACTATTTTCCATACTTCTGATAGATAACCATGGCATTCACGACTGTTTCATGGAATTATAAGTATATGTAAATTAACAAGCTTGTCGGCAGTGTTGTGATCGCTCATGTTTTCTAAACTTGTCCTTGGATGAATGAACAAAACAGCATCAATATATATCGAAACAATATGTATTTGTGAGTAACGAGGTCACATGAGATTTTAACCACCATTTCTCCCTTCACATCACACAGCGTTAACTGATGTTTGTTACAAAGACATGCGTCGTGTTCAACGGAAAGAACCAAGTGCTGAAACGATCCCTTTTCACATCTTTTAACATAAGTTCACTTCGTAGAACGGGTTTCATTGTGGTGTGGTGTGTGTTATGTATTCATTTAAACAAGAAAGACAATCTGTACAAAGGTAGTGACTGCACTTTTATTATGACAGAAATGTAAACACACGGATATGCATGTAAATGTTTACCAATACACTGAAACTGACAGGAAGTGGTTAATGGTTAATTTTCAGAGTTTTATTGTATTTACAAATATATTATTATATACTTCACGAGGCAACAAGGCTTTACTTTCCAGCAGTCGCTTACATGCCACAAAAAAATGCGCGCCAATTGTTTCTTTGTTGTTCGTCGCAGCACTCGACGATATTCAAGCACACTGATGTCTCACAGCTCCACATCAATGTCAGACACAAACATCGCGAACACCTGGTGTGGGCACAATAAAACTGCGCACCCCCCAATCACTGCCCCACATAATAGTTCTTAAAGTTCTTCTTTCTTTTAAAAAGCGGAATCGGTGCACTTAATTCGTAGGTTAAAATTAACGTATCGGTTTGATTAGTTTCAACAAAATCAGTTAATGCACTAACGTGTCACTGGATATTCTGGTTCATCGATCACTTGATTGTCTGGTTTGTTTACAGGCCGCCGTCTCACGATACGAGTACAGCTGTGCCGCGTCAGGGACAAATACTTCCGTTGTCATGAAAATTGTGTGATTGGCGAGTGCTACCGATAGTGCCGGACATGCTTACCCTTTTCGCGAACACCTGGTGTCATCACTCAATATCACTGGTCCATCCATATAAATTTCATAACTATTTTGCACTTTACGTCAAATTTTATTCTGTTTCGGCGGACACTCTAGACTGATGTTCTCTTGTATTGGAGGTTCATATTTACGGCATTGCCTAAAAGTCGGGCCGGGCCGGGACAAGACGGGCCAAAGTGTTACTTCATTATCGGCGATCATACCTACATACAATTGATGCAACATACACACATGACATAAATGAACAATCACCAAACAAAAAAATGCACCATAAATAAGTAATTCGGAGTAAATCGCTTGAAAACCAGAAAGTGGAGCAGTGTGTAAGCGTCGCTGATCTTGGTAACATGTAAAAGAGCAATCGTTAAACGAAATAAGATTTGAAACGTATCAAATACTTCTAGCTATCTTGATACAACGTTCCATCTGTGAGCATAGTGTTTATATTTATAGGAACGTTCTATATATAAGTAAATACCACTTTATAATGTCAACATTTGAATCCATTTGATGATAAATCTGTGCGGTTTAAGTTGATTTTGAGAGCCCGGGCCAAGTCGGACCGAACACTTCTGACATAGATTTTCTTAAGAAAATACAGTAGAAATACTTCACTTTGAGCACCTTGTTTTCTTTAAATACGATGTACCGTGACATTATAAAGTGGTATATAGGTAGATATAACACTAATCTATAGATGTAAACACATTTGAAGATACATATGTGTGTTTAAAGTTGATTTTGACCGGCAGGGCCAAGTCGGACCCAACCAGGCAAAACACTTCTGATAGAGAGAATGAAGAGGGGAAAGGGCTTCACTTTTGAGCACCGTGTTTGCTACTGCAATATGAGACACTAAAGTGTTATATAGGTAGATATGATATTATAATTAACCTATAGATGTAAGGTATGTGTTGTAATTTTAGAAGCGCTTTGACAGTTATTAACACGTATCGTGTCAGTCCTATGACATTCGCGAATATCAACTTGCAGAAAACATCCTGTGTTGGTTTAACATGAATTAGTAAAGGTTATTTAGGTATGCCAAACACGTTAATGAATGAAAGAAGAGTAGTCAAAACACTGTCATTTCGAATTCCTGCCCAGGACATCACACCCCTGCATGCTAAGGTCGGTGACAAACCTTCTCATCAAAGTAAAGACACAGTCAAGACACTGACTTTTCGGTATGAACTCTCGGTATGTAGCTATAATTATCAGTTTATTACATTGCTGAAGATACATTTTGATTCAAACTCAATTAAATGAGCAAAACTATCCGTTTCTGGACATTTGAGATCTGCCTAGATATGCACGTTTCGTTTTATTATTCTGCAATCCATGTTTAGTATTACCCGCTGGCCCGGCCCGGCCCGGCCCGACTTTTCTTGGTCCGACTTTTAGGCAATCCCCATATTTACATAAACTTTTGTCACTCAGATGGTGACGGATTCTATCAGGTACAATCGTTATACTTCCACATCTTAGGTGTTTCTTGTAAATCTGTAGATCTTCACACAGTCATCATCGGTGACATACAGGTGCTGACTTTCACACAGGTAGAGACCATACGGAGATGTAATACCATCACGTGACGTCAACACTTCCCTCACAAACGTCCCAGAAGCGCTGAGTTGAATCACACGATTTGCAAAGTGATCTATAACCAGGATATGTCCTGTGTTGGTTTCAGTGATTCCATGAGGGGAAGGATTCTGCTGTAAAGGCTGATACCTGAACACAACATCTCCATGAGGCGTCAGACAGAGGACACTGCCAGCTGCGAAATCATCGCAAGACACGAGGATGTTACCCTGCCTGGTGGTACTGAGGTACCAAGGACCTGATACA